GGGGGAAGGATGGAAAGCAATCCCCAAGAATTGGATTTCACAGGTTGTGGGTCAATACGGGACATCAGAAGCATCCATGATCCATGTCATGCCAAGATTGTGAAATCCATGTCTACTAGAGGGATGGGGTGTGATTCGGCCCAACGATAGACTCAGAGCCATCTCAGTTGGAATTTATTCACCAGTGGTGATAGGAATGGATGCTGACCAAACTCAGAAATGCACAAGAGTAGTCATAAGAGAACACACATATGTGCAAAGAAATCTGAACAAGGTTCCAAGAGTATACACTTGTTTTTACAACCTTGTAAAACAGCCCAAATGGACATGCTTAATGTAATATTGCGAAGCTATGAGTTGTCCTTCAAAGACAAACCCAGGAGCACAATCGTGCGCACAGACAAACTGATATTGGTCTATGGTACTCAGCACTTCTAGCTGTCTTTTCCAGGCAGCCTGTTTTTTCCAGGCTGTCTTGGAACCCGCACAAAGGTATGTTTCTACTAGCTTCTTGTTACTACTAGTAAGGCACTTGTTACTACTAGCGTGGCACTTGTTACTAGTAGCTTATTGTTTCTACTAGCGTCTTGGAACCCGCACCCACATCGACCCCCACATCGTCCCACGGCAGCCCAGCTCCAAAGGTTGCGTTCTTGGATCCGGTGGCCGCGCACCTGGAGACGCGCGAGTCCGGCGGCAGCTGGGCGGAGTCCTTGCGGATCGACAACAACTGCCTGGTGAACAGCATTCATCCCAGCTGGTCCTGGAACATGTTCATGGCAGGCGCCCAAAAGAGTGGTTGGGTGGGTGGGAGATGGGCCGTGGTGGAAATAGAACCTATCTTGTGAACCAAGAGGCATGGTTGGTCATGATCATCGCTAGATCGTAATGGGTGTTAGAAGGTGTTAGTGGTGATGGGCCTTGTCCATCTCCAGATAACATATTGTAGGCAACTATGTCACAATGTCCTAAGTGTCCCAATATTTATAAATTTTGCCTCCGTGTTGAAGGGGCGGGCAGCAAGATGACCCGCTTGGGCTCCTGTCCCACGTCCGAAAAGAAGGAGATGGACCGCCCTGGCAACCACGCACCTACCCCAACCACCGACTCGAGTTTTGGTAGGACTGGAGATAATTGAGCGAGATCTTGGCAAGGGGTGGGTAGTCTATGAAGCACGGAGCGCCCGAGTGCATCACATCTTACCTGATTTGTGCTTTCCAAATTAACCTTTTGATTCATGGATAGTAGCTTCATGCAACTTGGCAGGGTGTCCAAAAATAGGGCAACAACGGGACATCCAGCCTCTATCGTCGCGCTGTCAGCCAAGAGCATGTTTCAATGCTTAAGAATTAAGAACTTTACCGATATGTTTGTCCGCATCGGCTCCTAGTCTTAGATATGCTCAGACTCAAGGTGTTTTTAAATCCGTTTTTCATGCCAGTCTCGAACAACACTGGGAGCCATTCCAATGTCCAACAGCAGAGGGGCACCGGCACTGTTCTTCGCGCATCAATTGCATCCATTCCTCGGCGTGCCACCGGTGCAGGGCCGATAGTGGGGGTGGTTGACTTCATTCTGGGGCGGCATCCATTCCAGTCCCACCTTCATGTTTTTGGTCGTTTGGGATCGTTTGGGTGTGTCGCTCCAGCCAGCCGGCCCCCTTGCAGGGCCCACCTTCACGTCGCTGGTGTGTCCCTCCAACTCGGTCGATGAAGTGCGGCAACAAGCGCTCATCGACGCGGCGGGCGCGCGCGTGGCCAGCAAGGCAGAGCGGTGCGGTCGATCTGGGAGAAGGGCAGGGAGGGAGGGTCATGCACCAGATAAAACCATGACAAAGTGAAATGACCCACATGTTGCAGCTGATGAAAAACTATGCATGGAAATCTACGTTCTCTAAGTACTGATTTACCTCTTCAAGAGCCGATGTGACCAGAACGGAAGGATTCAGGGAGGGTTGGTGGGTGTCCGGAACCGGCATTTAAAGCTGCCATTTGCAGGTGGACTGAAGGTTCCGATTGAAACACACAAAAACCAAACAACCCATGGATGATCTCGTTCCCAGTTGATGGCCTCGCTCGGCTGTTGGGAACGGAGCTCCGGGAACGGAGCGGAGGCCATCAACGACTACTACTCCGGCAGTTGGGTGGCCATTAGCACCATCACTCTGCAGCTCGGATCAGCAAGAGATCTCGGATATACGGATATACTTTGTTTTTTTACATCAGAACAGATCTCCGTGATCCGTGACCAAGACATGTAGCAGTGTTTGGAGGTTTGGGAGAGGGTGGTGGACTCCATTCCTTTTGCCCTTCCCGAGGCTTTAAAGGGTCTCTCAAAACATCTCAAAATCTAAAATGTTGAGACCCCAGATGAGCCCAGACTCCAGACCCCTCCAAGAGGATTCGGGGTCTGATTGCTCACCCATGTGTCGAGACTTCACGTCTGGGTTTGGAAGCTGCCCGAAGGTTCCTTAGACCCTCCATGGCAGGGGTCGCAGGGGTCCGGGCCCTCAAAAGTATCTTTGAGGGCTTCGGATTCTTTGGGTGGAAAAAAGGGATTGGAAAATATTGGAAAGAGGTCTAAGGATCTCCCGGTTCATTCCGGATGATGTGGCAACCCCGCCGGAAACGACAACCTCGCCCGGACGGCCTGTCGTTCGATCGCCCGATGTTCGCCAGCTCGGACCTTGGATGTGTCTCGATCGTGTGTATGTGTGTGTGTCCAGGCATGTCTAACCACTCCTTAGAGATCCAGTCGTACCTTCTCAGCTACTTGGACCCTCCTGGCACCTACATGAGAGTGTCTCCAATCACCTTCTGAGAAGGTACTGGGATTTTCAGGGACGTCGTTTTTTTCCAAAGACTTAAAGCCGTAGACCCAACTAAACCCTGGTTCACTACTCGCTATTCCTGCCTGGGATCTGGCGACCTCAGGAACGGCGACCTCGTCCGCGCGGCCGAGAACGCCGGGCTCCTGGAAGCCACGCCGACGACGACGACCGGTGGTTCCAGCCACTCGGAGGGCTGCGCAGGGCGAGATGCGCGGCGTCAGGACTCAGGACCACCGTCACCGTCAGTGAAGGGAAAAGGGAAAAGGATTGGCACCAGTGGGCCATGTTGATTTTTGGTTGTTATCTTTTAGATTCATGGAGTGTTTGAAGGCATCGATTCGTATCTGATTCGTTTGTTCGATGTTGCTCGATGTTTGACCAGTTTACAGAGGGTATCTAACAACCTAGAGCCTGATTGACCCCTGTACATGGTCTTTTCCTATCAAAACAGAGGTCATGTTTGGGTTCTAGGTAACTGGAAGTCTGGAAGTGATGAGATGCGCCATTTATTTAGATCCATGTGCACTGGTCCAAGGCTTCGGCGCACCGAAGAGAAGATATGTGGTCAGTGGGTGGGTGGCTTGACACACCCGCCATTGAATAACTGGTAAGCGAGCCAACTATCAAGTGAGTCCCCATGAGACTGTTCAATGCGATTCATTTCTTTTGATCAGTACGTCAGAATATGATGATCTATGGTGCCAGTCAACTGGCGATCTAAGATGCAGTCGGTCCCTTGGATGGTTGGATCTTCACCCTTAAAGCGGCCTCAGGCACCTCCGCAACCACAACAAACGCGGCTACCACAACCACCACGGCCACAGCAACGACGACGACGACAACGACAACGACAACAACCACGACCACCGCTAGTGGCACGAGCTGCTCCTCCACAACGGAAGACTGCAGGTCTACAGGCCACGGGCCTATGTGGGCCAATCAAAACGCAACGGACTGGTGGATTGGCAGAAACTCTTGGGGAATCTGGAAGAAGGCTGAAGAAGGCGTAAGAGTTGTTTTGGCATTCTTAAGCCATACATGACTCACAAGGCATTGCGGGAGGGTCATCCTGATTGACATGTCAGTCGGCATGACTGAGGGTAAGTACTCATGGTTTTGTGGAGCAACATCTGATTTGATAGATCCCCTGGATATGTCAGACATCCGAACTTATTCCGATAAATAGTCAGCATATAGGCAAAATGTGGAACACGTCAGACGATGTCAGACGCAACTGAAGCAGAGTTTGCTTTGACGTTTCTTTGGAGTTTGCTTTGATCTGTGGCTTTTGCTTTGGCGTCTTCATGTCGTGTGAAGCGGCACCAGGTTGCTGTGCAACAGCTGGCTACAGCTGCTGCTCGGACCGAACTTCCGGAACGACGTCACGTCGTCTCCAGGCGTTTGGTCTTTTCTCTCCCAGTTTGGACGTCACATGGTATTACGATGTATTACGTGGAGTGAAACCCCGCCCTGTTGGGTAGTCGGAGTTCATATGTGTTTCCTCTTTAGGGGCCTTTTCCCATCCACGTCCATCTAGTAGAGGAAGAGCAAGAGTGTAGCATGCTTGATGTTTCGTTTCGTGGGGTGAAAAGCCACCTGTTTCGTGTGGTCTTCGGAACTCATCCGAAATTGGGGCCGCTTTCCCCACATAGCCATGAGAGCCTTAAGGGAGTGGACCATGATGTAGAGTGTTGAGGAAACACTTCCATTCCGAGCATGGTTGAGGTGGGTGAAAGGAGAGTCTAACTACCTTTAAACTAAGGATGTGGTTGGAACCCGCCTAGTGATAGTCAGTCTAGCTTGCGAGTTAGTGGACATCTCCCTGACAGAGCTAATTCTACCGGAGCCTCTTGGAGCAAATACTCCTTATCATGCTTCTCATATCTTCTCATTATCATTCAAGGATTGTTTGATGATTTTGAGACCTATACTTCGGTGGGAAGGGCCTTTGCAGATGGATGGCAAAATGATTCAAAAATGTTTTGTCCGAGGATAGAAAACGAGACCTAGATTTGATCGGACACCAGTCAGTCACCAGTCAGTCATCATGTTCCAAAGATCCTGATCCATCTTCCTCCGACAGTTCTTTGTCGCAAGCCACAGGAAAACATCCGTCATGTTGCTGCCAAGGTGGTGTCAAGCTGTGTGCACCCATCCACCCACCCACCCACACCCGCGCACACTTGTCCCTGCTACCTGCTGTCACGTGCCAGCCCGCGCCGCTCTGCCTTCCCCCGGGTCGCCGGGTGTTGAGGCTACGAGAAGGATCAGTACTGGGCGGGGTGCCGTCAGAGCTGTACACCTGGAGCAGCGAACCCCAACGATCCCGTGGATGCCTGGAAGAACTCCGGGACCCGGCCCGGGCGGGGTTCCGGGGGCGGGGTTGGAAGTGTTTTTTGGGAGTTGGAAGCAAGCTTGAGGGAGAGCAAGGTTACAATAGTCCACTTATACTTTACGGGGGCTGTTGTGTAAGTCCATGTGATAACAGGCATTCGGGTGCTTTGTTCTTCAATGTGCCACTATGTGCCAATTTGCAATGCATGAAGAGAACGATTGTAAAATATGATTTGCATGATATTCCATCATCCATTGCAAAACGGTGTGAGTCATGTAAAAAAAAATCGTGAAGTTGAGCTGCCAGGCAAGTGATGTACTCCATCAATCTCCATGTTTTGGGGGCAGTGCTGAGGAGTACCGAACACCATGGTCTTGTGTGGTCCTTGGAACATCTACCACCACCACGATTACCACGACCTCGACGTCAAGCACACCCATGACGTGGCACGGCTGCTTTTTAAGCCGGCAGGAAACGGATGAGATCCGCAAGTGGACGAAACTCCAAACACATATTTACCTATAAGGCCATTTCGTTGCAACCAGGTCTCATAACATTACATTTGGGTCTCACATGTGGATCACATGCGGCCGTTAGCTCCCAAGTGATGGTCTGAATATGTCTGAATGGTGCATTGAACTAATGTCAGAAAAGGACACGTTTAGAACCAAGGTTGGCATTAGCAGGTTGTGTTTAATGCAAGAAATGTTGGCAGATGTTCTTCGTTTGTGACATGCCATGCTCATTCTGGGCTGTGGAAATCCATTGAACAATGGATCGGCGGAAGCTGCTTGCTTCAAACCAGTGAGATTTGGCGTTAAGCAATGTGCTTTTAGGGTTTACAATGTGACATTGCTTAGCTGCCTTAACTTCCCTTGAGGTTTTTCAGGTCGCTGGCAAAGCCAGATGCGCAACGTGGTGAAGAGAAGTCTCGGAGCTCTGAGGGGCTGCAACCTTTGAGGGCTGTGATCAAGAAGTCCAAGCAGCCAGGCCCTGTGAGATTTGGATTGGAGGCGCTGTTGGAATTTCAGAATTCCTGCACAGAGATAAAGGAGATGGGGGCAGCTTCTTCATCTAAGATGAATGAGCCAGTTTCACGAAGGCGTCCTAACTATGACAATAGGAAGAGATCCTTTTTTGCGAGCAGCCGGCAACCAAAGACTATTGAGAGCCTTAATATAATACGCCCACTTTTACACGTTCAATGTTTTGTTTGTTTGGTGAGTTGTTCACTGGCACCAGCCTTTCATTTGTTCATCCTAGGAGAAGCGAGCATGCTGCATCCCAGGAGCGATTGAACAAGCTTGAGAAACATCACAAATGTCGCTGTTCAAGAGGAACCTGTTATTCCAAGATCGACCACATTAAGAATTCTTTGCTCCGATTTCTTCAACTCTTCTGGCACATGTCAAAGAATCTACAAGATCTCTTCGCTAGATGCCAAGTTGTTGTTGTTGTTTCTCACTGTTGTTTTAGGTCCTTGTTGCATAGTCATGCCAACACTACTCCGGCAAACAAAAGCTGCTTTCTAAGATCCAGAAGACAGTGGGCAAGATCGTGCCTGGAAAGGCGCGAAGGAAGTGGTACCTTTTGGGCCAACGCATGTCTCCGAAGTGCATAGTCGCCACATTGGCCATCGGTAATGCGAGAGTGGCACGGGTGCTGGGTGGCCAGATGGATCGGCGCTTCCGAAAGTGGGGCGGTGTCATGTGACTGAACAATCACCTGTTTTTTCCAGCTACTTTGTCTCATAGTCAATAGGCCTTCGCCTCTGTCTGGTAAAGTTAGAATGACCGAGGGGTCATACAAATCCGCAGTCAAGAAGAAGGAGATTGACCTATTCTTGCTGGACACATATTTGAAAGCGGCAGGAATGCTGCCGGACAAGTTTCATGTCATGCAATGGGCCGGGATGGACATGTTGGAAGGATTTGACTTCACTGCATGCTTCGAGCCTCACCCGTGAGGTTTCAACGTGGAGGCCTCACACGTGAAAAGCGTGTGGAACATTTGGCGGCGGAACTGGATTCCATGGGCGACGATGTCGAGGAATCGGAAGGCGGGGGGTGGAGAATGAGCGACAGTGCAAGTCAAATTTCATTGAAAACCATGTTTGGCCTGTTCGCACAAGGCTCAGAGTCAGAGGCAGCGGATGATCCCAGTGATACTTTGGCTGTTGAGGCTGAAACGTTGGAGAGCGATATGGAGTTGAAACTGCACATTCTGGGTCTCAACTCATGCTATACCCAGCTTTTTGGTTGAATTACCTGTGAGTTGGAAGGCACACGAACTACTGGTGAAGGATTTATGCACGCTAGCCCTAGGTATGTGGACTCGAATCACGGCAGGAACATCGATGCTCTGCCCACACGCGTGTTACCACCAGGCACCATTAAAATGCTATGGATTCAAATGGGTCAAACCCATCGGATATCGCAGCTTGAATGCCACAGAGTGGAGTCAGTCATCTCATGGACTCTTCATGTTCTGGAGCTGAGTGAGGTACCAGACGTTTTGGCGTGCATTCCAAAGATGGAGAAACATCATCAGGTTCCAAAGTCCAAGCTCACACGCAGCCTGCGACGACTGCTCTGATTGCAAGAACCTCTTTCAAACAACGACAGTTTCTTGTCGTCTGGTACTGCTGTGACTGGTATGTTCCTTGAAGTGCTACTGGCCTTTTTGCTCCGCAAGGACGCTCAAATGCGATTCGAGATTGCAAAGGCATATCGGGAACATGTTGACTTGGTCAAGAAGGACAGAGAATTGGAGGAATATTTCCAGGTCAGCTGGGAGTCAGACGCAGTGGGGATGGCTCGTTCCACTGAACATTTGTGTGCCAGGGGTGCGATCCTGTGTTGCAGCCAGGCGCACCGATGTGCATCCACATGGAAGCTCGACTAAATTGTTCTTAAATGTGTCCCTGCACACTTGGCTTTGGCTTGGTGCATTTGGCCACACACAAAGGACGGAATGGATCAGGCCAAGTGGTCGATCCCTCGGAGCCGCCACACCATCATCACAAAAAATGAATCCGGGCAACGACCTAAGTGTAAGGTCCAGGGCGTTTGGATTCATGGTTTGATCCTCTCCCTCTATGTCCTAGATCCACGCTGCCCCAGTGATGCAAGCACGATATTGGAAACCGCAACGCGTTCATTAGAAGACGCCATGGTTATTTGCCGCGAGCAAGGGGTGCCAATACCAAACCAGTTGCTGATCTGGGTGCTTCGCTGTCAAAACAAATGTTTCTTTTATATTTCGTCGTCTGAAGCAAACGACTTGGTACATCCACACCTGGCCACACCCAAGGCAGATAATTGCGTACGGGAGAACAAAAATGGCAGTGTATTGAGATGGCTATGTTATCTGATCGCTTCAGGGCGCACGAAGGTAGCAAACATATCCTTTTCCAGGGTGGGCCACACGCACGGGGCGCTGGGTGCCTTGCTTAGCTTGGCTGCCTTGAAACACAGTAAAATGAACATTACCCACCAAACGTTTTAAACCTGAACAAGTCAGCCTAGCCTCGCTTGGTGAAACTTGAGTGTGCCAACGTCAATGAACCCAATCGGCAAACTAAGATCAACTGTATGGATTATTAGCGATATGCTTCAAATACATTGACGTTCTTTGCGATGGCCCTGACATCGCCCAGAATCTTGATCAAGTACTAAGTTTATGTGTTGAATCTGGACAACTGATTGTGTTCAATGCAGTTTGCAGCTTCTGAGGAAGATTCAAGATGTGTTGACGAAGATTGGGATTCAACAGTGGATAGGACCACATGCAAAAGTGCAGGTACACTACATCTCGGGCACGCGAGACTTTAAAAACTGGTTCTGTGAATGCACCATAATAATGCTGCAACTTGTCATGTTGCCCTTATTCTCCCGTTCACCAGCTCCGGCTCAGGTTGAAGAAAGCTCCAGTGACCTTCAGTGGCGGGCTCAAGGTGGATTCCACAGGGCTCCACAGCTTCACGTGCATGAGACGTGAAGGCGCTTCACTCATTTAATAGTAAGTAGTAAATCAGACCTATGGCAGTTTGCTATTAACCAGTACACCTCTGACTCTGTTTCTGGCCCTGAGACATTCCGCGAAACATCAACATCACTGCCAGCGGCCGTGGCGCTAGACGCTATGAAAATCACAGCAAAGATGTGATTATGCTTCTCAAAAGGAATGCAGCAGATGACTCCCTAGCACAGGACATAAAACTTGAATGCGGCAACACGTTTTTACTCAGTCATGACTCATTACCTTCCATTCTTCCAGGACCCGGTTCTTGCTTTTCCATTCCGCTATCTAGCACTTCTTGGGCCATGCCCAGCTCAGCCAAGAGCTTTAGCTGCTGTCCTCACACAGAAGCGGAAGGATTACCTGGATTTGGCAGCGGTGCTGTTGAGGAAGTACCCGTGCACGTCAACAGAGCGTGCGTGTAGCTTCTTGTTGAGTCTGTGCAACAATGACCCGCCACAACCTGTCCCAAGATTGAATTGGTTTGAAAGTCCACCTGATGTGGGCCCAAGCATTGATGTGGGTCTTCCCCATGCCCTAGGCAGGATTGCCCCTGTCATGCGTTTCAATGCACAGCTGCGTAGGTGAAAATGATTTATCAAAGAGTGGTTACACTGAGTGGCAATCACTTGGCATAGTGTGTTGGCCATGCTTGGATTACTGCTCTCTGTCTCTGTGGCCCCGAGCTGTACCTAGCTTGCTTTTCGCGAGCCTTAGTAGGTCAACATTTTTTTTGGGCCGCGTGATGACCAGCCCACATTCAAGCCCGAGGCGTTTTTGGCACGTGTTACGTTCATTCAGGGGTCACACAAATTAATATGTCGCTCAGGACCCTATTCCTGGCATCTTCACCGTCACAGGAGCTGCTTTGCACTTTGTTTCAGGTCAAGCCACTAAATGTCTATCAGGAGTTCACTGAAGAACCTCTCACCACTTGGTGGCAGAATATGCAGAAGTCACCTACATTTTCGGAAGACAGCCAAGAGCTGGACCCTAGAGAGGACTCACAGGCTAGAGCCCCAGCGCCCTAAGTGTCACGGAGAGGCCCTTGTTTTGAAGTGCCTAGGTGGGTTTGAGAAGGCCTCGCAGGAAACGACAGGCTGTGGAGGTCTTTCTTCTCAGATGTTGGGCTGATGTTGGGGTGATACGTTAGCCATGGCAAGCCAGGTTCCACTCGATGACCACGTATTCGAGGTAGGGAGGGCCACAGGAGTCTGAACCTGGTTCCACCCCTCAAGCGGCAGGCTCTACGTGCAAGCTTCCGCCGAGGGACGTCTTCTTGGAACGCCAGGGCCTTGATGATTGAAGAAGACCCGCCTCAAACACATCTGCGTTGAACATGCTCCCCAGGTTGGTGGCACAAACACCGACAACGAGATCGCAGTGGATTTAGAGGTAAGCCTGAATTTCATGCCTTCCTCTT